TATTATATTGTTATATCAACATTACATTTATGTTACATTTTATGTGTATGTACATGTACATGTATATGTACCATAATTATTCTCTAATACATGTAGAAGCCAATACATTTGTATTCCAGGCTTTTACATGTGTATTTCTAGATTCTCCTATATTTATACTTTATATACATGTACATGTACACTGTACATGTACATGTAGGCTTATACATGTGTATTTCCTTAATACATGTAGCCCCAAGATTGTAATTGAGTCAGATTTTTATTTGAAAATGTGCATATAAATTTATATCTCCATCTCTTTTCCTATAGTAATACAATAACTAACTCAGATAAGACCAGTACCACTACTCCTCCATTACTGGAGTGGCAGGAGGTGAGGGGTCACCCTGGTCTGGTATCAGCTCTCACTGGCGGTACCAGTAATCCTGTTCTCTTACTCGTCAAACCTGATTGTCTCCTTATACAAGAACAGAAGCCTCTCTCAGTCAAATCAAGAATACAAGGGACAGCTCTAGTAGTACAGCCATCTTCAAATGAAATGGTAATTTTTTTGTACATGTACATATACAGTACATGTAGATCTATATTGATTAATTGTTCTAAATGAACCAAAATTTTCCAGTTGTCTATATTAATCATTCTCTCTCTCCCTCCCTCTAGTCTTCCCGTACATCATTATTATTAATATCAGAGGATGGTAGCCTGAGGATACAGTATTGCAATAATAATGAATCAGTCAATCACTGGCTCCAGAGGAAGTACACCCCATCAACACCTCTGGCTTATTTAACACAGTTCTCTAAGAAATCAATCAAGATCAAGAAGAGATCAAAGCCTCCAAAGATACCAGTTGATTTCTTTGAGCACTGCACTCGAATGCAGAATGCTGAACTAGAGGTACATGTAATTATTTATTTATTTATTTATTTATTTATGCATATACCAGTAACCATACAGCATCAAAGTAAATTTGTGAAAATCAACTTAATACAGTACAAAATGGTAGACTGTATGAAACTTGGGAAAATAACCAAAGTTAACTGCCCTCAAATTTTTTGTATGATTTACATGTACATGTGCATGTATGTATTTATGTACACACTTCCTTAAGTCCGCTCCCTGGTGGGTAGGTGTGGTCAGCCACGCCCATTCTGCCGACAGCTTGTTGCTCAGTATAGGGAGTGTACGAGTCATGAGTGTGTGATATTAATGAACCACTGATCATTACTAACCTCTATTGACCAACTGTGGGTCATGTGACTAGTACATGTATACATGTAACGAGTCATGTGACTCGTACATGTTTTATGTAGTGGGTCATGTGACTAGTACATGTATCATGTGACTGTCACATGTATCACATGTTTATTGTAGTTAGTATATCAGTAGTGGCTGTGTACATGTATCTTTTATTTTTATTCTATTGTTGTTTTTATTTTTCTATTGTTGTTGTTTTATTTGTTTATAGTTTGGTGGTACTGATATTCTTCATGTGTACAATAAGGAACAAGTTAAGCACAGACTCAATGTTGGTGGACTTTACATAGCCAGCACTAAAGTAAGTGTACATGTACATGTACACAAGTAGCTACATGTACATGCACATGTACATATACACATGTACATTTTTACATTGTAGTATATGTACATGTACATGTACCTCTTCATCTTCATTCTCTTCCCCTCCCTTTCCTTATTCTTCTCATCCTCTCTTCCACTCTCTCCTCTTTCTCTCTTTATTTTTGCATGTACAATTATATGTTCCTCTCTCTCCTCCTCCCCCCATAGCCTGGTGGTTTTACTCTTGAGGTCAATAACTTACAGTCAGACACTAACGTGATGGTTGGTGCTAGGATACTCTTAGGCTGTCGGTCGTTAGAGAGGACCCCATCATACATTGATGTCTATGGAAGGAAACAAACTGTAATTTAATAAAGCAACGACAATAATAATTAAATTATATTTATAATTATTATTAGGTAACTTTTCCAGGTGGCATTGCTCGCTGGTTTGATGTTCCTTTATCAAGAGACGAATGTCTGCAGTCTGACAAGCAATTTAATATAACGTGTTAGTAAAATGATTTTATTTACTCATTCATTCATTTATTTTTTTATTCTATCATCTATTTATTTATTTTTTATTCATTCATTATTTGTTTATTTATTTATTTATTTATTCATTTATTAATTCATTTATTTATTTTTTTCATTAATTTATTTTTATTCATTTATTTATTTATTTTCTTTATTCTTCTCTTAGTTGGTCCCAGTATGGACTCCTCTGGTATCAATATGGTTGATTGTGTTCGTATTTACATGAAAACTAAGGATGAGTTTGGGTTCCCTGAGCGTCCCGTTACCCCCGGCCTCTCCCTCGTCCCCGGGGGGAGGGTCCTCTCTGATGACGAAAGAACCGACAGAGAACTACTCCAGCCATTGGAGACACAGAAACTTCCATTTGACAAGTTAGTATACTAGAATATACTGTAGAATATACTATAATGTACTAAATAATATACTGGAGTATACTGAAATTTCCTACATGTTTAATCAATACTATAATGTAATATACTGAGATATACTATAATATACTGGAGTATACTGAAATATGCTACATGTATAATCAATGCTATAATGTAATATACTGAGATATACTATAATTAGGTCGGTCTGCATTAGGTTGGTCTGCAATGCTTTCTCTATACTCGGTAATCATTATCTTTACTCGTCTTCATCTCTTGTGGGCGTGGCTGATGTCGTCAAACAGACCACACCTCTTCTCAACCTCTCCACCCCCGCCATACTCCAGTATCACGCTAGGTACCTCATCTCTTGTGTAGTGAAGACAACCTCCTCTTACCCTCTCTGCAAGGTATGTACTACATGTACATGTACTACATTACATGTGCATGTAACAACATGTACATGCATACATATATATATGTATGTGTGCTTCAAGGTCACTTTTAATATTTTTTTTGCCAATTTTAGTGATGACTATTATAATTTTAATGATTAAAGTGACATAAATTAATTAGAAATGTCTTTTTGTATTAGCTAAAAATTGCAACATACAGTACATGTACGTCGAAGTACTAAAGCTGGACTTATGTTACATGTATGCATGTACATGTATTATCATTATAATAATTATTATACATGTACTACATTACATGTAACTATGTGTGTGTGTGTGTGTATGTGTGTGTGTGCTTTAAGTTCGTTTTTAATTTTTTTTGTACTGATTTTTGTGAGGGATTATTATAATTTTAGCAATTAAAGTGACACGTAAATTAATTAGAATTGTCATTTACATGTATGTATTCACTAAAAGATTGCAGCATACGTGTACAATGTACATGCACATGTACATCAAAGTACATGTACTAAGGCTGGACTTAAGTTGCATATGCATGTACATGTA